TATTCAGACACACGTATGCACATGTTTTCTTCTATTGGTATACTTGAGTTGGCAGTAATCTTGCAACTGTTGAGTATATGCCCTGTATATATACGCTTGTATTATGAAAACTGGGGTATGTATGTATATATATATATACATATTTATTTTTATTTAGTTTGATATTGTATGTATGTATAATACATGCCTACTTGCATGTATGCGAGTATCTAGAATGAATAGAAATACATGTACATATACACATTCATACGCTTGCACATGTATGTATTCATGCATTTTCATAGATCTACATGTACTAGGCTAACGGTTTATACCAATGGAATAGTGCCACGGATACTGCAGCATGTCATAAAGTAGCCAACAACACGGAAACATGCAATTTTGAAGTCCAGTTGATTGGCATAAAGCGACGACCTTACGCAGATTCCCTGCAACAAGGTAGCGGCGCGCGGAAAACCAACGACACGACCAGGAACAGGGCAAGATAACAAAAAAAACAAAAATAAACTAAAAAAACTAAACAACCAAAAAAACACATTTAAAAACAAGAAAAAACAAAAACAAAAAAAATCTGAACTCTTTGAATGGGCTGTCACTTGCGCAGGAGTCTCGGAAAATAAGTTGCGTCGGTTGTTTAGGTTTTTTGTTGTTTTTTAAGGTGTTGTTGTGCTTTTTTGGTTGTTTAAACGTTTTTGGTGTTGTTTTTTGTTTTTGCTTTTTTGGTTTCTTTGATGTTTGTTGTGTTTTTGGTTTTTGTTTGAATGCATCTGGCTGTTTTGTTTGTTGTGGGCATCTGCAAGGGTTGTGCAGTTTCGTTTCGTTGGCCATCCTTCGATGTGGTTAGTTGTGATTCCTGGCTGTGTTTGGTGTGTCTAGGAGCACGTAAAATACGTACAAAAAGCGCACTCACAGGGTGGCCCGTTCTGTATCTATTCTTGAACGGATCAAGAATCTGCTCAGCTGCTCCTTCTCCATGTTCCCCCTTATCTGGGACTTCGACTCGCGGCAGCAGCAGCGGCTTCATCTGTCCAGGCCCTGGCCGCGCTCACAGACTTTTTGAGTTCCTCTGTGCTGCGCAGCGTAGCAATTGCTTATACCCGGCAGTCATTGGTCATGCAGTCATGCACCCTGGCTGAAGGAATTGCAGCTACTCTGAAACATGCCCATGCCATGCGAGTCCTGCACTGCCGAAACAACGAGTTCAAGCAGAATGCGCCTCTGCAAGCCGTCCAGCTGTCCTTGGCAAAGGCCGACAAGGCTTCACAGGAGAAGTTAGTCCATGAGTGTCGTGTCGCAGCACTCGGAAGCTTGCACAGGTCATGTGCTCCATATCGTCTTCCCGAAGCCCCGTTAGACTCCGGTCTGATACCTTACAACCTGGAAAATGCCTTGCCACGCTCGACCCTATCGCCGTCGCAGGAAATTCCACAGCTCTTGAACCCGAAACGTCGAGTACGAAAGAACCCTCAAACATGCAGCGCTAACTAATCCCCCAAAAAACCTGCAACCAAAATAACTTTCACATATAAATGGCTATACACCAAGGAACATCGATTCTACCAGTTCGTCAACCCTACAATCGCTTCATGGCTGTTGTAGGCTTGAAATTCGGGCTTGGACGTCCCACGATCAATGCGTCCTTCTCACTACGGGTGCGAGCTGCGGCTCTGATTTGACCCACAAGACTGCATTGCGACAGGACAAGAGCGAGACCAACACGATCAACAGAACTGCAGCGACAATTCCTGGCTTGCTTGCGTATTCCAGACACACCTAGTTTTTGGACTACATGCCAGGGCTGAAATTGTTGGCTCGGCGAATCGCCCCAGAACTCTCAGTGTGATGCAGCTGGCATTGCGAGAGGCTTGGCTGGCTGAAACTGAGGCAACGGCCCAGATGAAGTCGCAGCTCGGCGAGCAACTCCCTCGGAAGTTTCAGCAAGCTCCGGGTGCTGAATCAGTCTGCTTCTGATCTACTGGGTGTGTGTCCACCTCGCATGTGTAGACAGATTCAGTGGTTGTCGAACTTTGATTGGATGTGGACAAACGGTCTCTTGTGGGCGAGGATCTGTTGGTGGAGCGCGGCCGAAGTCGCTGCCTGAAGCTTGTGCGCCCCGTGGTCTTCCAGAGCAATCTTTGAGAGGCGCAACCTCTGCTCGTGACATCAAGGGAACTTGCCGGAACAGTGCAGAGCCAGACAGGCCGGCCAGCCTGGATTCCGTCAGACGCTGGGAAGTTTGGAGCAGGTCGGACTTGAGCCCAGCCTGAACACATAGATGGCAGGAGTGAATGCCAGCTACATCAGAAATCCAGAGCGAGTCCCAGGCGTCGGCGCAGGACGCCAAAGGACCGTGGATATGTTTGTTCCATTGGAACAACCGCTGCTCGGCATCCACCTTCTCGCCTTTCTTGCCGGAATGACCAAACAAAACTTTCTTTCCTTTTCGCAATCGAGGTGCCTTTGAACCGATCTGCCATCGCCGTCTCGTGGGTCTCACTTAAGCTGAGCCTTGGCTTTGCTTTGTCTTTTGTGATCTTCCGTCAGGTCTCTTCTTGAGTGCTCAGATGCAGCCAGGACTCGCCTGTAGCTGCTGCTGTTCGTGTGCAAGCGCCTCCGACTCCTCGCGCTGCGTCGCTTGCACGGCAGCCTCTTCTTCTTCCTTATCGGGGCATGTTTCAGCATCCTCGGTGACTAGACAACTGCAGGCTGCGAAGGGAATCGAACTATTGTAAGCAAGCATCTGCCCGCCTTAGCCGAGCAAGCTGCTCAGCAAAGCTATCTTCCTGCTTCTGAACGGCCATCACAATCCTCATTGTCGCATCAAGGAAAAGATGGATGTTGTCAACCACACCGACGACAGCTACGACTGCAGAAAGCAATCTCAGGACAGGCTTCTCTTCCAGATCCGAGTGGATCTTGGCCTCACGCTCCGACTCTGCTTTCTTTATCGCCTGGGTCCTCTGATCTTGGGCCTGATCGGCTGCCGGCTGCCAATTGACTGCCAATGCTTCCGCACCTACCCCCGGCTCAAACGCTGGTGTCTCACGAGTCGTGCCTGTCTTGCTGCTTTCTGTGCTGTCAGAGCCTCGCCCTGTGCTTCAGCAGCTTCGTGCTCAGCTGCCTCGTACTGAGCCTCCAGATGCCGACTCTCCTGAGGTTTGAGAGAAAAACATATGTCTCTTTGCACCCACGCCCTGCAAAACCTACAGACGCCACATCTGGACACCACAACTTACTTTCACGTGCTCCAAGGTGCGTAAAGGAGTTGGGAACTGGGATGCCGAAGGCGATCAGAGTCAGCTCTGCTGCAAATGTTGACTTGCTGGCTCTCCTGCAAAAACGATGCACTGGCATAGGACGGAGACGCTGCACAAGTCAGAACAACCATCCTGAACCACTCGCTGTGCTTCTTGAACTGCGGAGCCATCCAAAACCCGCAGCCACGGAACCACTTGCACCACATGCATGCCTCGCCATCGCCAGCTCGGGCTGGAAACCAATCTTTCGCAGGCTTGGTACTGTAGTGTACTGCAGTATACACGGTGTTGCAGACCAGTGACGATAGTTTGGTTCTGCGCAGATGGGGTTCGAATCTCCTCCGACGTCCTCCTGGGCACGAGAATCACACTTGTAGTACGAGCAGTGCCTTGCTGTCAGTGTGCTATGATCCATCCTGGCCTGGAAGGCCAGGGTCTCCAATTTCGTGCAACCTCCAAGAAAAAGCAGTTGGGGCAGCGCCCCGATCTTGTTGCACCTCGGGGCTACGCAGAGTGCAGGCGCATAAACTTCCTGGCACTGTCGAACCTCAGGTCCAGCAATCTCAATCGAAATCGCTGGCCCCAAAACTGCTGCAGGCCTGCAGGCTTGCGATGACTTGCGCATCAAGCGTGATCACATGGTGACAAGTCGACATCAACGTCGTCACTTCCCAAAGGCTCCTTCGAGCGTCTGAATCTGATTGTAGGCCAAGCGCCTAAGAGGCGACAACGACAAGACCACCCGCAGCTTTTAGTCCACATTTTCGTCCAAGCCGCAGCTCCTCGAGGGCATGCAGGTGCCGAAGCCCCGTGATGGTGGTCACGGCATTGCAGCTCAGGTCCAGCAGACGCAGACTCGAGAGCCTCGCGAAATCCGGAGGCCTGAAGCGGCGTTTCAGAGCAGTGAACTCTTGCGGGAGATTTGCCGATGCCTGAGATGGCAGATGCAGTTGCCGGAGAGGATCAGCTCCTGCAACCAGGAAGCAAGCGTGGCAACAGTCTCAAATACAGCTTGCATTATTTCTCTCATCGTCGCATGTGCATTTCGTTCTGCTTATCATTTGCGGGCCTCAAGAAGCGCAAAGCGACTCAGGCCGGCCAAATCCTTGATCCTCACAACGCAGAGTTTTTCAGAGCTCGGCTTTTGATGAAAACAGCCGAGGCACTGGTTCATGTGCAGATTCAGACGCCGGGCTCGCCTCGGACGAGACTCGGCATTTGATGCACGTTACCATACAGTCTGAAATAAGTTATGACGCTTGAATTCCACTACTGAAGCTTCCACTCTCCCGGATCACCATCACGGGCTTTGTCGCAAAGTCCTCCCAAAAAGTACTGCGATGGGCCGGAGTTTGCAAATCAACTCTGATGCCCGAGCCTCGAATTTGATCCAAAGACGTGATGCTTGCACCGAGTAGATCGACAACTGCCATGGCCCATTAACATCCAGAGATCAGTTTATCAGATTCTGTGTCTGAGCTGTTTCTTTGGCCTAGCCGATCCGAAGTTGCTGCTGGAGTGCTGCTGAAGCTAAACGCTTCGAGATCAATCCCAGCATATCTGCCATGGCAGCACATCCCCCATAGCACAGCTGATCAGAGTGAGAATACTGGCCGTCCCCGCTCTCTGCACGCTTTTTCGCACTGTCTGGGGAAGGTCAGTCTTGTCCAATACACTTTGGCAGGAAAGGCTTTCATGTGCATTATCGAACGGACACCCCCTGTTTCTCCGCATCTCTCCAAGTCACCTTGGCAGACTCCGAGGCAGTGCGCCATCAACCCTGCAAGCACGTTCACAGCATTCACTTGGACTCGTGGCCAAATATCCAGGCCAATACTGCGGCAAGACGTTTTGTTCTAGCAGCATGGCTCCGTGCAAGCACCTTGACATAATGTCCTGTGCAGCTGCGGTTTGGGCACCGTGCCCGGCCACAGCAGTCGCTTCGGGAACCTTGGAATCATTCCGAACAGGTGTCTGCATGCAATGCCACACCTGAGGTCCTTGCCTCTTTGATGAAGCTTCCTGCGAGCTCGCAAGAAAAGCCCTGAAACCCTCTTCCTTCCGTCTGTGCGTGTGCTTGCGCTTCTAAATTGGTGGCCTTCGCCGTCGCCTTCTAGCACGATGCTGCTGGCAGCATCCCAGGAGACAGGCGAGGCAAGCAGCGGAGCCGGAAGAACCTGACGGTGCAAGAACTCCCCAGACGAGAGATGATGGAGGGAGGTGATACACTGATACACCCCCTTCTTGGTTGAAACTTCGTCCAAAGTCATAAATGTGGGGTGCAAGCATTAACTGAGCTGGGCATCCCACATTGACGTCCTTTGATGCACGCGCGGGAATGGCCTCAGATCTCGGTGCCCTGAAAGCTGTGTCGAAGGAGGCTCCGGCCTCAGAAACACAGACCCAGCAGCTTCGCAACGCCCCGCAAGTCTGCGTCTTCCTACATCTGGGGGCCACACTCCATGTCCGGTGCCTGGGAGTGCGGCATGTAATCTCTAAAGACGGGGAGCTTGGCAATGTTTGCCAACTTGCAAGGGAAGCGCCGAGGTCCGGCAAAAAAGCTGGAGGCGAAGATGGCAGGACCACTGGACCTGCGACCTGCATGTATATCGAGTGTGTGGGATGCGACATGATGTAAATGTATCTGTATATGTCCCGCGCCGGCGATTTCACGATGTGCCGAGAGGGCCATGAGTCGATGTGAGCACTGTACACAGACTTCTAGGTCCGTTGCTCATTCTTGCTGAGGAACTTCCATAATTAATGCGCCGAGCTGCCGGACCCATTCGTCTGAAAGCTCGGCAGCGCTGCTTTTATCTACAGGGCAAAGGCTGGACAAGAAGTTCCTATAAGCCCCTTCGGGGAAGGGCTCCGGCTGGGTTTCGAGGCAAGCCTTTACAGTGGCCAGCACATGCTTCAGAATCGAGCGGGCCAATCTGCTCATGTTGAGGTGCTCAGACGGCAGAGCCTCGCCAGGGCAGCGCTTGCGTTGCGGGCGTTGCGGGCATTGCGGGCCGTTGCGAGGGGAAAGGCTTCGTCAAAGCAAGGGATTCTTAGACGGAGGCGTGGGGAGCGTGTCTTCAGGTTCATGAGCTGTCTGTTTCCTGAGTTCCTTCTGCCATCAGCTGTCGCCTCCAGCAGGACATGAACGGAGTCGACCAGGTCACTGATGAACTGTTCACATTGTTCTTGGAAGACCTTCTTGATCTCCTCTTCCTGCAGTTTAGGATCTGACTGCGAGATGGTCAAGGAGCTGGAAAGCTCCTTAACAAGGGTGACCTTCTGCTTCACAACACTCGCGAAGCATGGTGGGCGCATCTCCTGCTGCATCCAAAATGTGATTGCTTCCGGTAGCAGCTTCAGTTCCCTGGCCAGTCCGCCATCAGAAGGTGAGAAAGACGAGACCACGGCCAGGTACCATATCTTCACCAAGCAAGGTACCTCTTCGTGGTCTTGCAGTCCCGCAAGCTCCGTTGTGCAGTAGCCCACTTGCGCTTCGATGGGCTCCAATGTGCGCTTGTCCTCCTTGATTGTTTATGTCTTTATCAGCTTGTCAAAGTAACCGAGACCAAAACAACACACGACTGGAACCCAAATACTACTTTGTGTTTGTAGCTTCATAATATGATAAGAGGACGTCGACTGCAGCCCCGTAGACAACAGGAAGCAGCAAGGCCGGAAAAGTCTTCTTGAAGATAGCGATTGTGTGGCTGGCCTCTTGGAAGCAGTTCGTTCTCATAAGCGCTTCCGTCCGAAAGCACAGCAAGCGAGCCAGTGTGAAACCATCAATTGTGTCTGTCCGGGAATTCTCACCGACATAGACACTGGTTTGACTGATGATTTTGGCCCACATTCTGGAGATGCGCCAGGTGCAGCAGGACACGACATCCTGACCCGCGCGGGACGTCAAACTCTCGGCCTCCATAAACCTCTGCACATGGTGGCAACATTCAGCCAGTTTTGCACGGATCTTCTCCAGCAGAGGTAAATCTGGGAACAAAGTGTGCAGGGCTTCTTTTGATGCTCCTTGCGTTAACAGCAGCTCACTGAATTTAAAGCGGAATCTCGCGGCATTGGACAGAAGCTGTGATCTCGACCGGGCAATGCACGCCTGCGTCAGGATATTCCAGTGGTTTGTGCGCTTGATGTCCTCGATCAGTTCAGCCTGCGCTGTCTCATAGTACCAGAACGGGTGTACTTCAAGGGCATACTTCGTTGTGAATCCGAGGACTGCAATGGCTCCGATCGCAGAGCTGACAAGGCCAACGAGTTGCAAAGAAGTGAAGCTGACACCCAAACTGCTCAGCACAGCCGCACCGGCTTCGGTGGCTGCAGCGCGGCCAGCCAGAAACGTTGCGCCGGTCAACATGGTGACAGACTCGACCGGGTAGCGTCCGCGAAGGTGATCCGTCTCCGGTCGAATGATCTCGCTCTGACTGTTAATGTTAGCACCTTGAAGCCCATCGAGACCAGCTTCACGCAAGAGCCGCAAGGCCACTTCCAGTGTCTTCTCGTGTGCTCGCTGCATCGCCTCACCAAGACGCGCCTCGAGCTCATGCTCAATCTTGGGAGCGAGCAAGGCAAGCACGCGCTCGATGTAGCTGTGACGAACCCACGTGACTTTCCCGATTCGTCCACCTTCTTCCAGCACTTCCTGGCTTGCCAGGTTACAAAGCTCACCCAATCTCTTGGCACGCAAGGTATCGACTTCTTGCTTAATTTCACGCTCAAGGCAGGCTGCCGCATCTTCGGCTGCTGTTTCCATCTCACACGCGTAGAAGTCGCTCAGTGCGACAGTGCCTTGGGACGACTTGACCCTGTCTGTGTAGACATCCATCAGTTCAGCTGTTCGTACCATAGCTTGCTGTGCCTGGGAGCTGAGCACTGTCTGTTCTTGCTGCATTGCCATGAAGCATTCCTTGACATGAGCTTGTATGTCTGCGATCCAAGTTTTGGCCTCCTCCAGGGGAAGATGCTCTTGCAAGAGCTTGTTGATGCCATCATCTGGATCCAGCATTAGGCCAGCTGCATGACGGAAAACTCGAGCAGTGCTGCCCTTACCGTTGATATCCTTCTGGAATTTTACAACCAAGCTGTCAGCAACTTGGCGGTTCGACATCTTACTCAAGCGCTGCTTGCCCGTCTTTAGCATCAGCGCCATATCAAAACGTGTCAGCACCCAAAAGGTCTTGCTGTACGAATTTAGCCTGAGCATACTTTGAGTCTCCTCTGGTAGTGCAGTCCCCTCTGTGAGTGGGCACACCATGCAGGCAATGTGGGAATGATCCTGCAAATAACTCGACACCAGCTCTCGGTACTCAGAGCTCTCCGTGAAGCCAGGTGTGTCGACTAAGCTGTAGTGGCAGCCGAAAGGGTTCAGCAGCTGCAGAGGGAGAAGGATGGAGATCTCTCCTCGATTCATAGGATTGGCATCCCTGGAGAAATGTCGTTCCAGAAAGCTAGCGATGTCGGCGCGGATGTCCTTGGCCTCTACACCCTCCAGGTTCCATTCTTCTTGAAGCTCTTGATTGAGAAAAACGCATGCTTTTGCACCCGAACACGACTCCACCTTCCAGATGCAGCTGGTTGCTGCCTGGTCATTGCTAGAAGGTGTAGTCAGTGCAGTCTACTTCATACTGCATGTCACCTGTCTACCTTTGGGACAAAAAGCTCACTACTCCGGAGAGCCTTGTTGTCCACTGGAAGCATCATCTCGTACTCATCCAATGTCGTTGAAAGCAGCATATTTATGAGAGTGCTCTTGCCAGCTTTGAGTGGACCTATGAACACTATTCGTAGCTTCTCCTTCACATGAATACGCTGGACCAGCGACTCCATGTTCCGCACATGGCTCGCCAGATCACAAAGCTTGGTCTCAGAGCCTTGCTCTAGCACTGCGCAGACCTCAGAGAACTCTGGGGCGAGGTCTGCGAGGGAACGGAAGTTTCGCCGTGTGAATTCCAGGATGCAGCCACAGCTGGCCTCGGCTCATTGCATTAGCACCACTCGGCCTGCCTCGTTCCACAGCAGACATTGATCATCTGACAAGCGACCTTCAATTCACTCTGAAGCTGTGCAAATCTGACGAAGTCGGCTGTTCGAGATCCCCGGACTTTGTCATGGGGCAGCCCTGGCCCAAGCGTTTCCCAGTCACTTCCTTGGCTCTGCTGCAAACAGAGAGTTGAACCTCACCAGCTCATCTCGGCTCACTGTCCGAGACACCTAAGCCGGCATCATGTCCTTCCCAGGTGGCCATTCACGGCAGCACTATCCCCGTGTACCGCACAATCAGGAGTTGAAGCGGCTGCGGTGAAGAATCGCTGTAACACCGTGGAGAAAGCTCGCGACTGGGACCGTGCAGTCATGTGTGAAGAGAACAGCCTCGTCCTCGTCTTCGTCATCCTCTTCATACAGCAAGGAACCTGGTGGTTCAGGCATGCCCGATGGCACAGCTGTCTGTAGTAGACAGACCCAAGCCCCACGCTGTTGCCCTTCAGCTGATTAGCCAGTGTCCCGACTGCCTGCTCATGCTCGACATCTACGATCGTCATGCTTTGCGGTGTCATCTTCGGCAATCGTTGCCGAACCCTTCGTCATTTAGGGGCACCACCATTGAGAAGTGCGCATCAGCACGAGGCCTAAGGTTCCAAAAGGACATCGCTCTGTGCCCTCATATGACTCACGACGACATATCTCGTTCACAGCATGGCAGGCCTATGTAGGTTAAGCGCCGTGCTTGGCACCACCAAAGCCCAAGCCTCTGCCATCCGTTTCTACTGGGCTGAAGCCTCACCAGCAGTTGTCTGCAGAGATGTTTGCCAGGCACCACACGCAGACTCTATGAGTTCCCAGCTGTCGTCGTCGGCAGCAGAGCTGTTGGCAAGATACCGGAACTTCGCCTTGCACTGAATGTAGCATCTTTTGCAGAATCGTCGAGACCACTTTTGCAGCACAGGAGCACCAACGTTCTCTGGCTCGTCCTCAAGCTCCTGTCGCCGTCCGGGTTTTCCAGTTGGTCAGTTCACGAGAAAGGATCACCCAGACCTCGTCGAAGAGCTCGTCGTACTCCCCCGGCGCGGAGGTGGAAGCACTCCTCAATTCTGACCCAGCTTGGCTGACCTTTGTAGCTCTTCGGCGCGCCTCGCCGTGGGCTTTGCGCAGGCGGCTGACCTACAAGGGGGACATAGAGTAGACGAGGGAGAGACTTTCAGCAGTGTCCACAATGCTCTAGGACTTCAGGATTCAACTTCTCTGCCAAGGAAGCTGCCTGCTCGTAAGACCAGTTTGGTCACCAGCTCCTGTTGACATCGCCAAAGGGTGGCTACAGGAATCTAACAGCGTGATCCGGCTGGAAGCTTACTAAGGCCTGGCTGGGACATAAGTGCCTGTGCCGCAGTGCTGCCCCACAGCAGGATTGCTAGCCCTGCCTGGCGCTGTTCGCACATCGCCTCGCTCCGGACGTCACGCGGCTGCAGCTGCAGTACACATGCCATGACTCCATCTGAGACAAGCTACGCTGCCAGCTGGTTGAGGAGCTAGATGCTCGGCTTGACTTGGAAGCATCCAGAAATCTCGCATTGCGGGGTCAGAAGCCAAAAGTTGAGGGGCACTAGGAACGCCTCATGAGTAACGATGGAGCAGGCCTCTTGATCTGGTCAGGACTGAGAGCATCTGCCTAAGTCCCGGCAGGTTCCCTAATCAACTGGGCGTTTGACTCGTCACTTCGTCACTCCTTCATGTAGATACCCTTACGTTCTTAAGCACCCTGCCTGGGCTTGCTCGTCGTCACTGTCAATGACGTTTCCAAGCAAGTGGTGCGCTTCCTCTTCGTCGTAGTCTTCGTTCTTCTTGGGATCGGCAAAGTAAGCCAAGGCACGACTCCCTCGACAGCGCTGCATGCAGAACAGTTTACCGCAAACGTTTTGCAACGCCCACCATGGAAATCAGGCACCAAGTGCAAGCGTGGCCAGCATCGGCCAGCTACAATCGTAGCACATGGCACTTAAGCGCATGAGTTTCGTAGGGTGGTCGAACAACTAAGCAGATATTCAGATGCACCTGCTTTGGCACAGCTAGTGAATGCGGCAATCTGACCAAGGGGCCTCCAAAGGGCCACATGCAGCGGCAACCTTGGCTGTGGATCTGTGGATCCGAGCTTTGCACGTTTGGTGCTGCTAGTAAACTTAAACGATCTGGAATCTTGCTAACAAATTTATCTCAAAAGACCAATGTCTACTCTCCCAAAAAAACTAGCGTGGAATCACAACCAGTGTTGCATCGAAGCTACATGTGTGCACAAAGGATGTCGCGGCCATGACGCATGCCAGAACTCACAGACATCAAATCGTCACGAAATGCTGACACATTGCTAGTGCAACGTCTGATGGCTTGCCCTTGTAAGCTGTTTCAGGTCTTCCCTTTACTTTGCACCCGACCGTAGCTCTGGAACTCGGGGTGCAGCATATGTTGCCACGGGCTTGAAAGAAGGGCACGCACGTAAAGAAATCAATGATGGCCACTTGTCGATCGCTTCTGCCATGACAATCAATGGAGATCCGTGGGGACACGACATCCTGCAACAGTACTGGAGATGCGGGGCCTTTCGCCAGATCAATTTGTAGCTAGAACCCAACAACACCGATTTCCCCCNNCCCCCCCCCCCCCCCCCTCGGGCCACAGTGGAACAGCCCCCTTTCCCCCCTGTCCCCGTCTGTCCTGCACCGAGAGTTGCTGACTGCAGCTGCCTTTGGAAGCAATGAGCATTATCGGATCCTTGCACATCTTTGTTGCAAGCGCGGTGAAACAGAATGTCGGCGGAGCAGGCTCGGCATCACTCAGCAGCCTGGCAAAGGCGGTTCCATCGCCAGAAATTTGCGCACGTGTGACCCACCTGCCCGAGCTTGATTGACATGTCCAGCTCCTCCAACCTGCAGAGTATCTTGCTCCGGGTCAGTCTTCGCCGGGCTGTGACGTGGTCCACGACACGCTCTATCTGCTGACTCCGAGGTCCCGTCTTCTCGCTGTCCACATCGGCACTGGGGCGCTGCACGGTCAGCTTGACCGTGTCGCCTGGAGCCTCACAGCTTCCCAAATGCACGCTCTTGAGCCTTTCGTGCTGTTGCGCGGGCTTTTGCGTCAAAAATGTTCCTCTTGCGCTGAGGAAGCAGCTCTTTGCTCCAGCATGCCGAACAAGTCATCCGTGCTAGATATTCGCCTTGGCATGCCAAGCTTCACAGTCAGCAAAACCAAGCATCTTTTGGGGGATCGAACTTCCCATCCATGGCAACCACCACATCTCCCAAACGGCCGCCACCTTGATTCGGACCAAGCAGCAGGAGGCAAAGCACTGTGACTGACCAGGGTTCAAGCGCATGGCACGTACTCCAGCAGAGGCAGCTGGCCCGTCTGGAATTACCTGGGCGGGCAAGGGGGCAAGTGTCAATGTAATGCACGAACCACGGGCAACAGAGAGTAATACAAATCCAGGCCTGGCAAAAGCGTTTAGCCGTTGAGCCCACACCCATTTTCGCGGGGTTGGAGTGCGCGAAATTCCAGGTATGTGTGTCTTTTTCAATGCTTCAAATCCGGTGCTTCCAGCGTACGAAACGGCCTTGCCAGTGAGTGACCGCAGCGGATTCACGCACTGAAGCGATTTATACACAATCGCACAATCGCTCATTTTTGGGATTGGTGTTTTGAGCAAGCGAGGACATGCTGGCAAGATATCGGATATCCGAGCAATCCCAGGCTTGCCTCAAGCCAGCCGTTAGAGAAAGCAGCAGAGTTCGCACGCTCATCTGGGTTAAAAAGTCAACACTCGGTGCGTTCAAACACCCACACGAAAAAGCTTTTGGGTATTGAAAAGCGAAGCAAATACGATCAAGAAACGAAAATAAAATGAAATCCAATGACAAATCCAGGTCAGTCCAGGTTGAACCTGGGTTCGGAACCCTCCCCGTCTCCACATCCGCTTTTCCGCACACAGAAGGAGAAAGCCACACGAAAACACATTTGGAGGTTAAAACCGAAAAAAAAACAAGACTCAAAACCTGACGTCTTTCCAAACATAAAAGGAGAAAGCCACACGAAAACGCTTTCGGGGGTTAAAAAGCGAGAAAATAAGAATTAGAAACGAAAAATCAAATGAAATCCAGTGAAAAATCCAGCTCAATCACAATCCCTGCAAGCGCGCAGTGCCGAGCCCCGAAGGACCCGACAAAGATTGGATCCACGGAGCCCGAAAGGACCCTGCAAGCCCGTCACCAAGTCCGAAAAAGAAGTTGCTCCGAAGGACCCTGCGAGCTGCAACAAAGCTTAAAGAAATCCGCCCCCCCCCCTTCCTGAAGCCCCCTTAAAGCCCCGCTTGAAGCCCCCCTTGAAGCCCCCTTGAGCACCCCTGAAGCCTAAACCCTAAAAAAACAAAAAGAAAATCATCAACCCTATGACGCTAATGCAGGATGCGCCCAAGCCCTGAATCTCTGAATCCCAAACTCCCAAAGCCTACCGAAACCCTGAAACTCAAACTCGCAAACCCTGGTTCTGCATACCAACCTAGAGTTCTCCGAACACAACACGAGTAACACCTGGGCACCTGGTGACCCTGCTAGATCAATAGCTGTACCCTTACTGGTGGACGAGAAGTACTGGCCCACCGGATCCCCCACCTTTCCTTCTTTGAGGGAGATGGGCATTAGAACAAGTGAGAAACCTAAACTCTAAAGGTAAGCTGAAAGGTAAGTGGGGCTGGAGACGGTGGATCCATTGCGCATTGGTGCTTGACTCGACGGGGTTCGGTGCGACTGCCCGAAACGGCCATGCCCCAGGCCGCTTCCAGAAAGTCTCCACCACAGCCCGCACCTGTTCCCACCCACTTTGTGGTACGAGCGAGCCTGTCCCCAACCTAAAACTCAAATCCTTGCTCAACACCTCGTCGCAGCAAAAAAAACTGTTAAATCAGAGAATATGGAAACTCCACCCAGCGCTGAAGATCGGACTGACTTGACGTCACCGCTTTTCCATGCACGACTAGGTAAGATGAGTTGGGACAACTCTCTCTAAAATCCAGCCTTCATCACCATGATGCCATTGAGTTGCAGTTCCTGATCCATGACCTTGCTGCAGCACTGCTCCCTGACCTCCCGTTCTGTGAGCACTGCGACAGCCCAGAACGAACATGTACTAACCTGTCCTGATTCATCGAAGCCTCCACTGAACCACCTTAATCCACCTTTGGGAAGACTTTCCGAGGCGCATCTGGCGCGAAGACGAGCCCAAGCAAGGGTCGCTTCACAAAGCCTCCGCCACAAGGGAAAAGGCACCAAGCGTTGTGCGGTAGACCGTCGCATGGTGACAGATTGAGCATGCGTTTGACAACAAGTTAGCCACAACCCATCCTTAAAGACTCCTGGGCGGAAGCAATTTGAATCATGTTCCCACTGCTGTCCTGAGCCACTTGTAAAGTTGAGTAGATGGAATATGCGGTCTTCAGGTGAGATCGAGGAGTGCCAAACGTGGGAAATGCAAAAGCAGGAAGGGAATGCCTGGTGTCAAAGACAACTGGCGATAAGCAGATTGGACAGCCGCAGACAGGTTGAACGAAAGTAACCGTGGGCTCGAGGGCCGAAGAGCACTGGACAGTCGAAAGGCAGCGCAGACAAAGGCGAGCAAGGCTTTACTTGCAAACCACAAGCTGCAAGTCACGATCGCACTTCTTCGCACAAAATCAGTGCATGCGAAGCCATCTTACTAGATTCAAGATAACTCAGGCATGTACACTGCATTGTGCACGAACCTGTTGGCCTTCTTCTGAAATTCTTGTACGACACCGAATTACTCATACTGCATTCTGTGGGCGAAATGCCGAGGGCCCAGATAGTTTCAGGTGATGCTCGAATAAAGTGCTTGCAGCAAGCTGACTAGATATATGTTGTACAACACTGTCTCATGCTGCGTAAGTTAGCCTGTTAGTCGATGAACTACTGTATAAATGCCTTCATCTCCATTGCGTACAAACTCGTGAATGCTGTGCGGAGCATGACGTCGCGATGTCGAACACGATACTGCATACTGCGACGCACTGCGATCAGCGGTGCGACAAGCACGGGCAGTATTCAAATGCGCATTGTTTCTGTACCATCCTACCGATGTTTAACCATATTAAGGCTATATAGAAATGCCATGCAACTGACACCACCAGCCACGTTCATAGGTTTTGATATACCTCGTACCACGATGTAAGATGCTCTGCTGTATTCTAATCTAGTCAGCGCCAAGCTATGCGGCTTCAAGTGCAACGAAACAACAATGATTCGAAACCAGCCATGCAAACGGCTTTGTACTCGAACATGATGGTTCCTAGGGGCTAAAGTGCACAGTCTTGTGCTGTAGGTTATGAACTTACAGGGTTGTATCCTGACATATGTGCTACTGCGTTCTAGGATGTCATGCTAGGCTTTGCTGCATAATTAGTCTTCTACAGTGCGCTTCACTTCCCCGCATGTACTCTCTTGCACTGCACTCATGATGCCACCACCCTTTTTTGTACACAGCTTGCTGTCGTGCTTTGCTTCACGGTTACACTCTCTGTATACTGTATACCTCCACAGCTGAACAAGTCCCGCCTCATTCTATTGTCCCGTGTTGTGAAACATGAAACATTCCTTGCTGCCGTTGTGCAAAGCTTCACACCATGCTGCCCAAATGCTGTCTCTACTACACTAGGTTGTGCGGCGGAATGTTGCAATGCTACGTTCATGTCCATACGCACCGGACTATGCATCGAAGCATATACCGCTTGAGGCTTCTGTTCGGGCGCAAGGGTTGTCTTTCTACACACTTGTGATCTTGTGCTGTTTATGAAACTCCTACTGTCTCTGCTGTTCCTACTACCATTCTTGTCGGCAGGAGTGGAGCCTCCTGCCTTACGTTCTTGCCAGTTGACAAGACGATTCGAACCACTCCCACTGAAATGAACATGCATTGAAATCTACACTCACAGAGTGGAGGCACACTTCATAGGAACAGCGTGGAAGCAGCTGGTAAACATAGAATGGGGAAAGGGATCAGCAAAGTTCTTGGTACTTGTAGCAGTGTTGCACAGGCTGTGGTGTGGACAGTCGTAGAACTGTGGGTTCCGAAAGCCGAGACGAGAGCAGAAGACTAGTGCGGAAGCCGCGATACACCTCACTGAAGAGAAGGTCAACATGGATCCGTCAGCACTTGTATTGCCATCGATTCAGCATCAGAAATTGGAAGGGGTGAGCAGGCGTTCCGCAAACGATCCTCCAAAAGGCTGCACGAAAATGAAGCACTCCATTCATGCACGACAGCCCAGTAAGTCAACATGCTTCGACAGGATTCGACAGGCCTACGAAAAGGACAGCCCAAAATCATGCGGGTTCGGCGGGGTCTGTGTGGGTTAGGGCGGTTGAAAATTCAGGGCTCATTGCCAAGAAGAGCGGGAACGGACCAGGAAGAGACGGTGAAAAAACGGGGCGGCATCCAAGATACAAAAGTCTCATTGCGAGATGCGAGCATGCCAGCACTTGTCGTTTCCCCATGAACTCTATGAGGCTTGGCCCGGACGAAGCGAACTTGTGACAGCTGCGAGACCGCACAAATCGGGACGGGGACAGGAGCACGATTTCGGCTTGGTTCTGAAGGTGAAACGCCAGCAGAGGATCGCCGCTAAACCAATGCCCTTCCTTCACAAAACCTTGGGGCCCCTTGGGAATGATACCAACCTGAGAAACAGCAATCAAAATTTCAAGCAGCCCGTGACTGAAGGCAGAAGTCCGATGCCTTTGGAGATAATGCTTTCGACATTCTTGTAGACGGTGTCAATCGGGATAGCAAGGCCTGGGCTATCTATAGCTGCCCCCGTAGCGGTACTGTGAGCGAATTGCGGAAGCCGAAGACAAAAGAGACCTCTTTAAGTATGCCTCCCTGTGTTCTGTACGCCATGCTTTAAGCATGCAGCCAACTCCAGCGAACATGCCACTGCCAGAGAGGATGGCTGTGTTGACTCCGATCACCTCTGAGACTTGCTGTGCCCACGCAACACCACACAATCACTCACCGCCTCGCCATCACTGTTCAGCAACGGCCCTCCACTGTTGCCTCATCCATCACGTCGGAATGAAACGTAGACGCCCTGTGACACTCTCCTGCTTGCACAGAGGCCTGGATTGATGCTGGCATCAGTCTGGATAACTCCACCTGCCGGAGGGCGTTCCTCGCAGACCTTTGACGTGGCAGTCCTTACTGAGCCTCCCACTGATTGGCCTTCCACCAGCACCCTCAAGTCTCCGCGAGACCTTCAAACAGAAGCGGTCGAGACACCAAGCGGGGCCAGCACCGAATCCTCTGAGCTTCCTGCTCCGCTGATGATCCCCCGACTGAGAGAATGCTCCAGGCCTCAGCGCAAGCACGAAAAGAGCCTGCTGCGAAAGCTCGTGCCAGCCTGACAACACAACTTCACCAGCTGAGCCTGGCGCCGAAAGGATTTCCGAAAGCGAAAACATTTTGGCCTGGGGGTGGGTAGAGCATCATGTCACGGGGCAAGTCGAGCACAAAGAACCCCGAGAATAGGACCAACCAGAAGCCTGTCAGACCGACCACGAGCGAGGGGCTGCATGAGGCCTGCGCACGGCATGCTCACCGAGTCCAGAACAGTCCAAACGGTGGCCTCTTGGGATATCCCTCTCCTTCTCCTTCTCCTTCTCCTTGTCCTTGCTGTCCTGGCCCAGGTAATGTGTGCATGAGGAATCGAAATGTTATGCTGCACCCTCACGCACGTGTCGTGGAGTCCTGACTGCCCACTTCCAACACGGCCACATCACTTGTTGCATCGTAGCCTGCGCGGCTTTACTGGCTCTATGGTCGTATGCATCAAAGAGGACCATCAGGCAATACTGTAGCTCTGAGCGCTGTGCCAACAACTTGAGCTTGGTAACTCAGTCGCTTGGATCCTGAAATTCGACAGGCTTCGACAAGCACCTGTCCACTTTTTGAAAGTACTACTACTAGCAACACACCAACAACAACGGCTACTTCTTCTTCTACTTACTGCTTCTACTCATTCTACTACTCCTCCTCCTCCTGCTGCTGCGCCAGGTACTACTGCTACTACTACTAACCTACTACTAAGCTACTACTAAGCTACTAAGCCACTACTACTACTATTACTACTACTACTACTACTACTACTACTACTACTACTACTACTACAGCTACTACTACTACCACCACAACTACAACTACAACTACTTGAGGGCCAGGGGCATGGAGAACGAAAGCTCGGTCCTTTTGTACAGTAGGACTCAACGGCTACACACACGCAAACG